ATAACATGAAACATTTAAATGAAAAAAGACTGCTCGTACCAGGGCGAAGCCATGAATGTTCGGACTACCTTTCAAAGTCTATGGAGCTGTAATAACATGAAACAATTAAATGTAACAAGACCGCTCGTATCAGGGCGAAGCCCTGAAAGTTCCAATTGCCTTTTAAGGTCTATGGCGTAGTAATAACATGAAAAAATTAAATGTAACAAGACCGCTCGTGTCAGGCAAAGCCCTGAAAGTTCCAACTGCCTTTGAAGTTCTATGGAGACGTAATAAAATGAAACAATTAAATGAAAAAAGACTGCTCGTACCAGGGCGAAGCCCTGAATGTACCGACTGTCTTTTAAGGTCTATGGAGCAGTAATAACATGAAACAATTAAAGGTAACAAGACCGCTCGTATCAGGGCGAAGCGTTGAACACTCCGAGTGCCTTTTAAGATCTATGGAGCAGTAATAACCTGAAACAACTAAATGTAGCAAGACCGCTCGTATCGGGCGAAGCCCTGAATGTTCCGACTGCCTTTTAAGGTCTTTGGAGCAATAATAACATGAAACAATTAAAGGCAACAAGACCGCTCGTACCAGGGCGAAGCCATGAATGTTCCGACTACCTTTCAAAGTCTATGGAGCTGTAATAACATGAAACAATTAAATGTAACAAGACCGCTCGTATCAGGGCGAAGCCCTGAAAGTTCCAATTGCCTTTTAAGGTCTATGGCGTAGTAATAACATGAAACAATTAAATGTAACAAGACCGCTCGTGTCAGGGCGAAGCCCTGAAAGTTCCAACTACCTTTGAAGTTCTATGGAGACGTAATAACATGAAACAATTAAATGATAAAAGACTGCTCGTATCAGGGCAAAGCCACGAATGTATCGACTGCCTTTTAAGGTCTATGGAGTAGTAATAACATGAAACGATTAAATGAAAGAAGACTGCTCGTACCAGGGCGAAGCCCTGAATGTACCGACTGCCTTTTAAGGTCTATGGAGCAGTAAGAATATGAAACAATTAAATGTAATAAGACCGCTCGTATAGGGCGAAGACCTGAAAGTTCCGCCTGCCTTTTAAGGTCTATGGAACAGTAAAAACATGAAGCATTCAAATGTAACAAGATCGCTCGTACCAGGGCGAAGCCCTGAATGTACCGACTGCCTTTTAAGGTCTATGGAGCAGTAAGAATATGAAACAATTAAATGTAACAAGACCGCTCGTATCGGGCGAAGCCCTGAATGTTCCGACTGCCTTTTAAGGTCTTTGGAGCAATAATAACATGAAACAATTAAGGGTAACAAGACCGCTCGTACGAGGGCCTAGCCCTGAATGTTCCGACTGCCTTTTAAGGTATATGGAGCAGAAATAACTGAAAAAGTAAATGTAACAAGACCGCTCGTATCAGGGCGAAGCCCTAAAAGTTCCAACTGCCTTTTAAGGTCTATGGCGCAGTCATAAAATGAAACGTTAAATGTAACAAGACCGCTCGTACGAGGGCAAAGCGTTGAACATTTCGACTGCCTTTTAGGGTCTATGGAGTAGTAATAACATAAAACATTTAAATGAAAAAAGACTGCTCGTACCAGGGCGAAGCCATGATTATTTCGACTACCTTTCAAAGTCTATGGAGCTGTAATAACATGAAACAATTAAATGTAACAAGACCGCTCGTATCAGGGCGAATCCCTGAAAGTTCCAATTGCCTTTTAAGGTCTATGATGTAGTAATAACATGAAACAACTAAATGTAACAAGACCGCTCGTATCAGGGTGAAGCCCTGAAAGTTCCAACTGCCTTTGAAGTTCTATGGCGCAGTAATATCAAGAAACAATTAAATGTAACAAGATCGCTCGTATAGGGCAAAGACCTGAATGTTCCGACTGCCTTTTAACGTCTATGGAACAGTAAAAACATGAAACATTTAAATGTAACAAGACCGCTCGTACCAAGGCAAAACCGCGAATATTCCGACTGCCTTTTAAGGTCTAGGGAGCAGTAAAAACTTGAAACAATTAAATATAACAAGACCGGTCGTATCAGGGCAAAGCCCTGAATGTTCCGACTGCCTTTTTAGGTCTATGGAGCGGTAATAACATGAAAAAATTACTTAAATTAAACATTACTTTACTTAAACATTTTTTTTCCCACTTATTACTTTACTTAAACAATTTTTTTCCCAATTCGAGTTTTCTTGTGAAAATCATCCCCCCACACGCCATACAAAATACAAAACGGGTAAATTTAATTACAGATACAACAAGACTGCTCGTATCAGGGCGAAGCCTTGAAAATTCCGACTGCCTTTTAACATTTATGGAGCAGTAATAACATAAACAACATGAAAAAATTAAATGAAATAAAATAAAATGAAAATATTTTTTTTCTAAAATTTGAAAATTTTTCTATGAAAATCATCACCCCACACGCCATATAAAGTGCAAAACAATAGATTTTGCTCCTAGTAACAAATCAATTATGGCAAACAAGCTTCCTTCAATCAACTGGGAATGATTTTTAAGACGGATAAATCTCCGCTTACGCATTAATAGCGCGAAAATTATCGCGCGTTAATTGTCCCAAATTGGCCAAAATGGCAATCTTTAAACACCCATAACATTACAAAAAAATTCACAGGTAAAATAAATTGTAGTTTAAGCTCAGGACAACAATACTTTTTGAGTGATATAAAAAGTTCCGGCAAAAATGGCTTGATAAAAAAACGAAATTTGTCTGAAGAAAGAAAACCACCACGAGCACAAAGTTTTCGTTACTTTCGTACAAAAATTGGAACAAAAAATGGAATGAAAAAGAACTAACAAAGTTTAATCAAAAGTAACAAATATCTCATCGTAAATGAATCAGTACAGACTATTCATTCTGTCTTTTGTTTCATTATTGTTCTGACTTTTCTAGTGAAACTAACGGACCATGTGTGATAGGCTAATTAGCCATTTTTGACGGAATTTTTTAAAATCATTCAGAAGATACTGTTGTACTGAGCTGAAATATGAAAAAATTTTGCACCTGTGATCATTTATTGTAAAGTTATGGGGGTTAAGGATTGCCATTACGGCCAATTTGGGACAATTAATGTGCGATATATTTCGCGCTATTAACGCGTAAGCAGAGATTAATTGGCGTGTGGGTGGATCAATTTCGCAAAAAAACTCTCAATTTTCATTTTTATTGTCAATTTAATTTTTTTCACATTTAATTTTTGCATGCTGTTACTGCTCCATAGATCTTAAAAAGCAGTCAAAATTTTCAGGGCTTCGCCCTGATACGAGAAGTCTTAAAATTTCTTAAATTTTGTTGTTGGTCGGACACTGATTTAGCAAAGAAAGTTTCAGAATTTATGAGTCTCTTTCTTTTTTGCGCTCATTTACTTATTTAATTCATAATTTGATGTTACTATAACAAATCACGAGCAAACCGAAACAATTAACTTCCAGAGGGACGTTTTTGAATTTACAGGAACAGTTTTGAAATTAAGTATTGTTTTCATAAAACACGACGAAAAAGGATCCCCAGTTTTATGAGCAACTGGAACAAAAATCTTCCAAAAGCAAAACATTTCAATCTGTAATTATTGATAGCTAGGTTGTTTGTCCTTTTCTCCCAACTTGATACAAAAAATGGAAAGCAAACTAATTGGCTATGGCAAACCAATTTGGTCTTCAATTTTAGACCAGTAAATTTTTCGGGCACCATAAAATTGACGCTCGGATTCTCAATTTGTCACTTTTTTGTCAATTTTTTGTCATTTGTCATTTTTTTTTTGTCATTTTGTCATTTTTATCATTTGTCAAAATTGTCACTTTTTTCTTGACTTTGCAAATTGTTGACTAGTTATTTTTTTTAATAAATGCAAAAATCTTCAGAAATTGATATCACTTTAATTAAAATTAGAACAGGTATGGGTTAAGTTTTTATCTGTATATGAAAAATATCAAGTGTACCAATTATGTATATAAATCACTTTCTTTTTCCTTCGTGTAAAAAGCCACAGTTTAAGAACTTTTGGTATCAATTTGATAACTCTTGAGAACTATTGTATCATTATGACACAATTATACAGCGCCTTGAAACTGCAAAAATCATGGTACTTGGTACGTTCGCAACTACTCGCTACTGAAGGGCTAGAAGTCCTCAGCGCCGAGTTTTGCCCTATTACTCCTTCGGCCCTGACGCAGTATCGTAACTGGGACATTATGCTATTTGAAGCAATACTTATCCTACGCTCAATAGCATATGACAGCAGTCAGTGACATTGGCATGGAACTTCTGCTGACACCTAACTACTTCCTAGTTTTTGTCTGTAGACTTACACTCCAGAGCAGCCTTGAATGAAACACCTACTCGAAAACTGTCCAACAAGCCATCAAACCGAATAAAAAACATTCTGGACAGGTTAAAAGTCCGTATACTCAAAAAGCGTGTCCCAACCCTCGCCAAAAAGTTAAATGTACGCAACTTAAGTAAACACTCGGAACGAATGAATTCACGAAAAACAAATTGAAAATTTTGCACCACGAGGCATCTGGGTTGATTGCTTATACCGGCTGGGATGGCGTTGCGCGTCCGTGAAATCTTGAAGCAGTTACCAAGAATTTTAACTGCACCAGGGGCAAAATAACACTTCTTTCATTGTAATCTCACTAAAAACCGGGCTACAACTCAATGTTTTTGATTTTTTGAACTGAGGCCCCCGAAGATTTTTATAACACGAATCCGTTTCTTATGCTTTATTAAAAATGACTTTTTCCGAACCCAAAATTACATTTCAGATTTCGGGAATGTATTAAATATTAAATTAGGACCAAAACTCATATTTCAAAAACATTTAGACCCTAAGACTTTCAAATTCAAATTATTCATGAATATTTTGCGCCCTTTAAGCTTTCGTATTTGAAGAGTGTACTTCCCCATTTCTTTTAGCAAACTACTTTGTGTTGAACTTGAAAAGAAATCAAAATCAAAAAGCGAACAATTAAAAGTAAGATAGAACAACTTTTAAAGCTTTTCTGTTTTCTTATTGTATCTGTAATTAAATTTACCCGTTTTCTTTGCTAATTTGCGGCTATACTGTAATTCAAATTCTGATTTTTTTGAAAGATAAGTGTCTTCAAGATTTTAGTTGACAATGGGTACCAGCAGCTAATGAACTTTTCGTAGACTGACCAGACAACCCCTAACTCTTTTATTTTAATACCGATCTAAAGCGTTGAACTTGTTTCTATTTATTGATGAAGTTTGATTTCAAATATTGGGTAAAGTTTGAAGAAAAGGCCGTTCCTGTACTGACCGACCGTAAATTAAATCTATGAAGAAGAAATTATTTTTTAACAAATTCATATCAAAGCTTGAGTTCTGAGTTATTTTCTGGAGGCAAAGTTGATCTGCAATATCTATTTTTGTACAAAATAACTTCAATCTTCTGGGCTACTGAATGCTGCAGCTGCTGCATACATTTCTAGACTGCTGAATCTGCTTGTCCAATAGAGGTTCGGATTCTGTTCCAAAATCCAGCTCTAGGCCACGTCCAAAATACGTCAGAACTTTCTGGTGACATTGAATTTCAATTGGTTCCTGTTCGATGAATTCCCCGTCCAAAATGAATCCACTTTTACCAGTTTCGGATTCACTTCCAAAATTGGAAATAAGGATTTTGTTCACACGCATGTTTTCAATAAAATCGAACTCATCTTTTGGGTTTTCGTGGGCTTTCTTGCCGACTTCTTTCAGCATTTCGCCAACTTCACTCCTTGTGACATCGCGCATTATGTGACAGTCCATTGACCCGTTGCCGAAACAACCGAAAGCGGAAGCGCCTCGCGGAGACATCTCGCACTTACTAGTGTGATTATGCAACTGGATTCCAAATATCTTCGGCTCGTGACTTTCTACGCGTTCCACTTCGTTTTCCGGTGGATCCGAGTTGCAAGTCGGGCAGTCGTGTTTGCATGTGATTGGTTCGTACGGATATGACTGAGTTTTTTGGAGTGCAATTGAACATCTATACTTGTTCATTTTCATGATGTATTTCATAAACGCGGCTGAGTAAGCCAGTGTTCCCGGCAACCATTTTTTGTAGCCCTCGCCGTCTCGTATCGCATCGGCGAAGAATCCGAAAGCTATCATTGTTAGCGAGACGCCCAGAAGCTTCTCGTTTATGTTTTTGACAGACATGATGTCAACTTTTTTGATGTCGCCGATTAGAATGTGAAGTAAAGCTGTCTCCTTATCGTCCGTTCCGTGCATTGAGTATGAAAAAGTGTTGGCCGTTCCACAAGGAATAGCTGCCACCGGTATGCTGTTCGGGACAATCTGCGTGTTGTTTTCCGAGCTCAAGATCCCGAGCACGAGCTCGTTGAATGTTCCGTCGCCGCTCAATGACACAATCCCGTCTAGATCCGATTCCGAAATTCCCCGACCAACTTCAGTGGCGTCTCCTCGGCATTTCGTGTAGTGAACTTCGTATTTTATGTTCAATTTCCTCAAAATGGGCTCAATTTCGAGAGCAAAATGCTTTTTGGCCGAATTATTTCCAGCCTTTGGATTGATTACAAACAGTAGGCTTTTCGGTCTGAAGTACTTCGATAAGTACTTTTCGATAATGTCGACCCATTTTGGTAGTAGATTTGATGTCGGGTGAAAAGCTATCTGTAACTCTAACAAACGCCACAGGTAATTTTCGCCTCGGAAAATAAAATAGCATGTTAACGTTTGATCTCCATCTGATTTATAGGCTACAAGGTCACTCAACGATTTGGAGAAGTTAAAGCTGTGAGGGGGAGGCGTGATGGAGATAAATGACATGAATGATGATGGCTCGTCTAAGGTCACGGAAAAGGTCAAGGTCTTGTAAAAGCAGGTTGGGATTTCTTCATTAGAAATAACTGCAGTAATTTGTGAAGGTGAGCTAGAGCCCTTCATTGAAGTGTGACTTGTATTCAGCTCCATCAGATTAGCCAACTATGGGTAATTAGAGTTCAGGAGCTTGTGTAGTGAAAATGGACTAACTTTGCAACGTTCGGCAAAAATCAATCAAATAAAAAAATCAACGTTAAATTTGTACAGAAACAGAATTATACTGTACATAATATCAGTTTCAAAAGCGTTTCTTTAAATTTTATTTTTGCATACGTTTGTGTGCAAGTTAAATTCACAATAAACGCTTTTTAATAACTCAAAAAACTAATTCTGATGAGTTTATGCTCCAAACGAGTTTATGTCTTTGAATGCGTCAACAAAACAAAGTTGGTTAAACCGCAGAAAGATCAATAGAGTCGTCGAAAATGAGTTAAGACATGAATCAAGAGGTAAAATGATGAGAATCCGCATTAAAAATGGAGTACAGAGATTTTTTATACTCCAAAAACATGCAATTTGATCATGTTTCATTCTGCGTTTGGTTCAAAAAATGAATTGTTTTTTAACGGCTGCTTTGTTCCAAGTAGTATATGCATTGTGGCTCTTAAAGGACAAAAAATAAGCTTTAGCGTAATGTTACATAGCTCACTGCTTACTGCCTAATTTTTGTTATTCAGGAGAGTGAAGCTAAATATTAAAAAATGCTCCAAAACGTTGAAGCAAAAAAAGGAAACACGTCAGGAAAAAAAGAGCGGAAATAGAAGCTCAAAGCGTATAACCGCATGCAACCTGTTAGTCCTGAAAAAAGTCCTTATAGTAAAAATCAACACATTTTATTCCTTGTTGTAATAATCAACACTTTTATTGATTATTATTGGCTCCTATTTGTGATTTAATATGTGTTACTTCTCATGTCAGGTCATTCACTTGCAAATCTCTCCTATGAAGATATAGTCCAGATTTGGATCCTCATCAACTAATCCCTTCATCCCCTGCAGATACCTTGAAAAATTTTGCATCCATATAAAGCATGCTAGCATATAAGAATAACGTGCAATGAAATGGAATCCACCCCCCCCCCCCTGTTTGCCCGTTTGCAATGGGGGGGGGGACATTCAACAATATTGCAAATTTTGTGTTTTTGGCGGGTTTTGACGATCCATTTAAATTCAAATCAGAAAATGAACTCAACCCAATTTTAAAGTAACGGTCAGCGAATAACGCCCAAGTTTTGAAAAAAAAATTCCAGATAAATTGATGCCCAGTGTTTTGAACTTAGCCCACTTAAGATTTCGGGTTCTGCTATTAACTTCATTTAGTATTAGATTCCACCAATGACTCAAATAGTCAACACCTCTAAAAAAAATGTTTGCTAAACTTTCATATCGAAACCGGGTAAGTATCACAATGAAAATTAGTAATATTTTACTATTGTTTCAATTAATTTACAAAGCTGATTCAAACCCTGATCAGTGTAACTTTCAGTCTGTTTAAGATAAAATTGCTTATAGAGATAAACAGTTTTTTAAGAGCTCCGATTTTTCTGAAAATCTATGTCTAGAAAAAACTCCATTTACAATGGCTCGAATTATCTTCTTTCTGCTGGCGCCGAGTCGTTCTTTTTTAAATCTGTATCGCAGTTTTTATCTTTATGTGTGAAACTCTTGCATGTATAAGATATAAGAAAACATTAATATAACTTCGAATACATCGGCGTTGAAAGCAAAATTCTAAATTGTTTCTCTGATTTTATGCTGACACATTGACTGGTTATCTCTGGTTTAAAGATGATTCATCAACTTAGCTGCTAATGACTCAAAGAGGATATGTTGCTACCTACGCGATCGAAAAAATTTTGCACGACTCTGTGCGGCCCAAAAAACATATGTTGAGTCGGATAATCGCGACTCAAAATGAGTATATTTTGCTTAGCGCGTCCGAAGATTTTTAAGCGACTCTGCCCGACCCAAAAAAGAAAACTGCGACAATCAGGACTACTGCGACTATCACAAATTTTTTATGCGACTTCGCGCCAATTAGCGCAAATTAGCGCGACCGAAGTTTGCGCGGGCCAAAACAATTTTATACCATTTTGGGCAACTCAAAACCATATGTTGCGTCTTTGCGCAACGAAATCTTTTGCGGGACTTTGCGCGAATCAAACAAGTAAAATTATATTTATGCTTTTTATGCGGAATTGTGTGGCAAAACTGGATCAAAACAAAAACGCAAGCTTTTATGGTGCGAGATTTTGAAGCGAAAATTTATTTTTAAAAATAGCTTGCCAAATGTTTCATGCTTTTTGCTGAAACTCCTTAACAAGAAGAACCAACTAATTATTATTACCTGCAACAGTCTTTTTTTATTGTTTCATTTGATGAAGGAGTTTAGTTTCTCAAGTTTTAAAGTTTTAGAAAAACAGTGCTGATTTAAATTACCCGGGCAAAACGAACAAAATTGAATCTCAAAAGCGCTTTTCTCAATTTGGGTTAAGATTCGACAAAAAACTAAGGGAACAAAAGTTGCTTATTTTCTCCGAAAGTCTCGACCAATTTTTTCTCCGAAAGTCTCGACCTAAATTTTACCAAAAAATAGGTCATTTTGGCTTTTTTCAATTCATCAAGAGTTGCACTAAAGCTACTATGTTAATTGATGAAGAATATATATCAAAAGAAGCCTTTTACACAGCCCAACAAAGTTCCAGTAATGTTAAATCTCCAAAAACCTGTAAAAGAGAAAAAACTTTGCTTAATAGTCAGGATATGTGAGCTTTACTATATAAACCCAAAATCTTTGCTTAAAAACAAATTTTAACCAATTTTCTTAAACTTTTGGAGATCTAACTTTTCTGGAACTTTGTTGGGCTGGGTAAGATGCTTCTTGTGATATATATTTCTCATCAATTAACGATTACCTAATTTGCTATTTCATTACTGTTTGTGTGCAAAGTTTTTGTTGCGTTGATTGTTTGAACAGCATAAATTATCTGCCTGCTACAGTGCTGATTTAAATGATCCGGACAAAATGAACAAAACTTGAATTTTCAAACGCGTTTTTCCCAAATGGGGTTAAGATAAGACAAAGAGTGAAGAGAACAAAACTTGCTTGGAATTTCATCAGAATTAAAATGGTGCAATTTTTTTCTCCGAAACTCTCAACCTAAATTTGTCCCCTAAAATGAGTCGTTTTGGTTTTTTTTAATTATTCAATAAATACGCTTAAACTACCTTGATAATTGATGAAAAAAATTATGTCACAAGAAGCTTCTTACACAGCCCAAAAAAAGTTCTAGAAGAGTTGAATCTCCAAAAACCTGTATAAGAGAAAATAACTTTGCTTGCTAGTCAAGAAGTGCGACTTTTACTATATAAAACCCAAAATTTGTGCTTAAAAGCAAATTTTAAACAATTTGCGCAAATTTTTGGAGATTCAACATTTCTATAACTTTGTTGGGCTATGTAAGAAACTTCTTTTGACATAATTTTTTCATCAATTATCAGAGTAAAAGCGTATTTATTGATTAATTTAAAAAAGCCAAAATGATCCATTTCTGGCGTAAAATTTTGCTTGAGAATTTCGGAGAAAAAAATGTACCATATTAATTCTGATTAAATTCTAAGCAAATTTTGTTCTCTTCACTTTTTGTCTAATCTTAACACAATTTGAGAAAAACGCGTTTAAAAATTCAAGGTTTGTTCTTCTTGTCCGGATAATTTAAATCAGCACTGTATATCCTTGAAATTTGAAGTTTGCGGAAAACCATTTTTTTGCATCACTAAGATTGAAGATTTTTTTTGAGCAGTTTTTTTTTCGTTTTTTATTGTTTTTTGATCATAAGTTTATAAGCAAGATAACAAAAATATTGCAGTTCAAAAATTTTGCTCAATTCAAGTTGCGTTTTTGCGCTACGCATAACGTGAATTTGTGCGACCGTTGATGCAATTTTATTCGACCCAATTTTGGATTTTGCGCAAATATTTTTCAGCTAAAAACGGCTTTGAGCGGCTTAAACCTCTGGCAGGAGTTGGGATTTTTGTCGCAGTTCAGACGAATCATGAATGTGTCGGGTCTCGGCACGGGATGACGATAGAGCGGGAGTGTATAAAAGTTACTTAAGTTTTTCCATATTATATTTATGTATAAATGCATGGAACGCACAATTATTATGGCAACCTATATTTGGTTCCAAACCTGCTAGAAAAGTGTTAAAAATTAAATTTAATGCAAATATTAGGGAAAAGAGTTATCGCGGCTTTACAACATATTTAACCCTTGGCATCGAAGGCCTGACATTGAGTTGCTTTTAACTGAGCTCTCCGACAGTTCTGCGTAACAAAAGATCCAAAAGTTTTCTAGGACTCTTAGTTTCTCGAGACAACGTTTTAGCATAATTTTTTTCCATTTTTTTTCGTGAAATATCTTTTGAGCTATGGAAAACTTTATTTATAGATAAAAATAAAATTTTGTTGGAAAGTTTTTCCCTGGATTAAATTAAAAACTATATATCATTCGAAAGCTAGTGTTGTCTTGAGCTTAAATGTGAAAAAAATATATTTCACCTGTTACTATTTTTCCTAAAGTTATGGGGGTTTAACAATTGCCATTTTGGCCAATTTGGGACCATTAACGCGCGATATATTTCGCGCTATTAATGCGTAAGCGGAGGTTTAATCCGTCTTAGAAATCGTTCCAAATTGGTTGAAAGAAGCTTATTTGCCATAATTGATTTGTTACAAGGAGCGAATTCTATCCTTTTGTACTTTATATGGCGCGTGGGTGATGTTTTTTTATAAAAAAGTTTCAAATTTTAGAAAAAAAAATTTTCATTTTATTTTATTACATTTAATTTTTTTTATTAATGCTCCATGAAACCTCAAAGGCAGTCGGATCATTCAGGGCTTCGCCCTGATACGAGCAGTCTTGTTTCAAGTTTGTTTTAAACTTTCTCTCCGTAAGTTATCCTGTTACGGAGAGTTACTTTTTTCATCTGTATATAAAGTAGTCCTGATTTGCCCAGCGACGTTAATATAGAAAGAATTTTTAATGAGTTTTGCAATAATCATCGATGGGATAAAATAACTACAAAAAAGTAAATGAGCGCGGGCGCGCGGAGGTGGATGCAGTTTTCCAAAAAAAATTCAAAACTTTGTCAATTTTTTTTTGTTGCCATCCCCCACACGCTAAGTATATTATAAAGTCAGACATTTCGCATATAGAAAAACATTAAATAGACCAATTAATTTGCTTCAATCCAAACAGGCATGATAATTAGTCTATTTTGGGCTATTAATGCTTACGCGTTAATAGCACGAAATCAATCGCGCGTTAATTAACTCAAATTGACTAAATTGGCAATTTTCAAACCCTCAAAACAATACAAAAAATAATCACAGCTGAATTATCTTTTCAAACTTGAGCTCATCGCAACAGAAAATTTTGATTGATATCGAACAAATTTCGTGACAAATGACAAAGTAAAAAGTCGAACTTTGTGTGGAGAAATAATCCACGCCGATCACAAATATTTCGTCTTTATTTTCGAAGTTTGGAGCAATATGGGCAACAAAAAAAGTGAAAGAAAAGCTCAAGAAAAAAGATGAAAATGAAACAAAATGTAGTAAAAACATAAACTGATGCCAATTTTAATTCTCCTTACTACAATTTTGTTATGAATAACAATTGATTAAGGCATTTACTTGCC